TAGCGGAGCAGGTTCTCCGAACGACAATGTCGAGTGAAGAGAGCTTTTATGGAGCAGAACCACCCGCAGCGGCTTTCTTGGGGAGCCGTCAGAACAGCATGAGTTCCCATGAAGAGACCATCAATCTTTCGCTCCATCGCGCGACGGCCGTGTTAGTTGGTTTCGGTATGAAGACCTGGTACGGGATTGGAGAACACTCACGGTTATAGAACCCGCAAGACAAGGCCCGCTCCTCAAGAATCGTTGAGGGCGCAGCAATACACCGGACAATGGCGTGGAGTATTTTCTCAACTTCCTTCGCAGATATTTCCTGACAGGCATCTGCGGATGTCTTCAAATATATTTTCCTCAGTCTTTTCAATCATCGCCGAGGGAATTCTGAATTCGTGACCTTTATCAGCAGACTCGAGATTCTCCTGCGAAGGCTGCGGGCGTCTTGAGAAGATACAGTGCCCGGATTCACACACACCACTCCTGAGTGTATTCAGGCAATCAATGACGCAAATCAGAGAATGCGCGAACAGCATAGTCAGAGAATGACGCAGGGTCTGTCGCAAACAGCCACAGCACCCACAGTGCCCGATCCGACTTACCTTGATACAGCACAACCAGAAAACTTTGAGAGGTTTGTGAAAGGTAAGAAAAGAAACAAGAGCATTCGTAGGCGTTTCCACTGTCAGACAACATGTTGACATTGCTATCCTTTCAGGAAGATGAAGAAGGCGAAGAAGGCTTTTGTCCCTTGGATGAAGAAGAAGCTTTTTGGCAGCTGCTTCAACCCTTCAAAAAATCACAATCAGGCGGCAAGGCCAACATGGCCGACGAGACCACCACCAATCAATCCTACTGGGGTAAGAAAGGAAAGCGACCCTGGTACCAAAAGGGAAAAGGGAAACCCTTCAACAAAACCAAGGACAAAACAAAAGATCTAGGCAAGGACGACAAAGGAAAAGGCCAAACCAGAACGATGGTTACATGGCATATCTGGAAGAAAGACCCGTAGAAGTTGATGCTAGTAGAAGTACGGTCACCCAAAATGGCTTGACCTACAACATGTTCCGCACGCGACACCAAATCGAGCAAGCTCTGGCTAGTAAACTCATGGCGCCCATCATCAAGCAGGCCGACAATCCAACCCGTGCTATTCTTGGCGTCGGGGAAGTCCAGCATATATACTCATCTCCCCTCTCAGGTCAGACACAATATTCAGCGAGATTTTTGAGAAGAACTTTCGCAAACATGGAACCACAAACAAGGCACCTCATCCTCCTAAGGATGAACCAAGTAGCCGATATTACACACACAGTGAAGCCTTGGTGGGCAAGCCAAAGAGCAAGCCTGTGGCACCAGCCAACAAGAACCATGCCGGGCAGCGCGCCTCACATCAAGACAGGTAGCGAAAATTCAACGAGACAGGTAACCAACAGTGGCGCGACAATGTCATCCAACTGACATATGATCTTTCCATATTTGTTCGATCCGGTTCGCCGGAATTTCTCGCCATGAGTCTTGGTACAGTCACTGTCTTTTCTGTAGACGCCGTGTACATATCAGTAGATTCTCACCTTGAGCCCGTCAAAAGACACATGTGTCCGTCCTCCAGTGCTTTCCGGAATGCAATAATTTGAAGGCTACGGTACAGTAACCTAATGTGCTGCTATTGCACAAACTCCGTATATTTCGGCCTAACAGCTGAGTGATTAAATCGCTCAATGGCGTATGCTTGAAAATCTGAGACGCCATGAATGGAAAGAAGTTTGTGTCTGTTTGTTCCTTGTTTTGTTCTGCGCTTGTGTCGCACGATCCACTCATGAAGCAATCTCTTGTATGCATGGCTCACCTGTAGCAACAGTGTCAAAAGGAGCCATGCTTTGAACTTGCCCTATTTGACCCGTCTTGGGCCAAACACTGCCTTATCTTTCATACTGTTGCCATTTCCCCCTTTAACAGATTTATTCCTCTTGCATCGGCGTAGATCTTCGCGGAGGACCTACGAGTTGCATCGCTGACTCTATTGGGCCCCCGTAAGCTCAGAGGGGGGTACCTGGTTGTTCATACGGGGGGGACCTGGGTTTTCATACCTGTAATGTTTCCAAGAAGCAACAAAACAGACAAGTTTTGTCCGGCCTGGGGATGCAATTGTCCAGAGGAAGATCAGGTGAAAAAAAGGCTAAGCAGCTGATGTGCAAATCTGTAGTGGACGTCTGGGCAACAACCTTACTTAGGCCTTAATAAGCCCCAAGAAGCCCTGATTTGCGCTTTCATGAGAAACCAACAATATTGTCTTATTAAGGGCATATTCGGGGATTAAGGAAATGTAAAAAACACCTTCTGGCGCCACATTGCCGCGTTATCTATTTGGGGGGGGGGACATCTGGGAGGGGGGGGTGGCATGGGGCACACATGATGAAAAAGTTGGCCAAGATTGTTATGAAAACAAAGCAAAAATGAATACTATATTCTCAGCAACGAGTGCATGGACAATCTGAAAAAGAGTTTATATTTGTCACATCTCAAAATTCCAGAAAGAAACTCGTTTCCCATTCTTACATTAATACGAGGGAAACGCTAAATACCAATGATGTACTCGTAGATAAGAACCTTCGCTGTAAGCGAAAAATGGCAGTTCATATGTCCGCCCAAAAAAGTAAAACTTTTACCCGTCATCAGTTTCTACTTACACCGCTGGTGCAAATTCTGTAACTACACTTCACAGTGCCGGGCCGCCTCAGAAGAAAAACGAGTTGATGAGGCATTAGCTGTTGGGAATATTCTTCTTCGTCACGATGGACGGTTTTTAAACTGTGATGCGACAGCGACCTCCCATTCACACGCAGTCGTGAGAAATGTTACCAAAACAACTACAGAGGGATGAAGGCAGGACGAAGCGCAAGTGTATTTTGTTTCAAACTTGAAATTGTTCAAGGCTTGTGAAAACTTTTTGCCCCATCACGATCGACGATTGAACTATACTGAACCACTGGTGTGTTAAAGCCAACGGTTGATACGGCTGAGAACACAAGCGCACGCTCGATTACAAAACCATTACTTAAAGCAAAGGTCCATACTCTTGATGATAATGTATTTGCTGAGCATGCGCGTATTCTTGAATCAGGCCGCTGAAACCTTACAAGAACAAACTGCCTCAACATCACCAAAGTGTTTACAACAGTTGTCCGTTACGCATCTAAACAAAGAACTGTTTATTTCCTCTTCAGATGCCATTCAAAGGGGTTTTGCAGGTGGGTACGGTGAATTACTGAACTCCGGCTCGGGGAAACTACTGCTGAATCACCGGAGGCTAGTCCTTTCCTTGACGTTCGCTGCTTCCTTGTCGGGCCACTCCGGGGTGGGCGCCGCGGCGCTGAGGGATACGATCTGCCATACGGCTGATAACCTACTGACACGCAAGATTCACCGAAAATGCACAAGCTAGGCGCATGCTACTGCCTTGGGCCAAAATGGTAAGTCACACCGGTCTACCTTTCAACAACACAGTCCTTCCACGTCAACGCCGCAAACCCAAACGCCGATTCAGAGGGGGTCCGTAACCACGATAAGACTTAAAAACAAAACCACGACCAAAAAAACACGATAAGGGGGCGGCCAAAACCACGACAAGAGCGGTGCCAAAGTCACGATAAGGAATAGAATCGTATAGAGTCCCATTCTATTTCCGCATAGAGCCCCATTCTATTTCTGTATAGAATCATGTTCCATTTCCGTATAGAGTCCCATTCTATTTCTGTATAGAGTCCCATTCTATTTCCGTATAGAATCCCATTCTATTTCCGTATAAAATCCTATTCTATTTTTCCGTATAGAGTACTACTGTGTAGGAACCGACTCTATTGCCGTATAGAGTCCCATTCTATTGCCGTTTAGAGTCCCATTCTATTGCGGTATAAAAGCATTGCCGCATAGAGTCCCATTCTATTGCCGTATAAAGTCCAATTATATTTCCGTATAGAGTCAGTCCCATTCTATTTCCGTATAGAGTACTACTGTGTAGGGCCCGACTCTATTGCCGTATAGAGTCCCATTCTATTGCCGTTTAGAGTCCCATTGTGTTGCGGTATAGAAGCATTGCCGCATAGAGTCCCGTATAGAGTCCAATTCTATTTCCGTATAGAATCAGTCCCATTCTATTTCCGTATAGAGTCAGTCCCATTCTATTTCCGTAAAGAGTACTACTGTGTAGGGCCCGACTCTATTGCCGTATAGAATCCCATTCTATTGCCGTTTAGAGTCCCATTGTGTTGCGGTATAGAAGCATTGCCGCATAGAGTCCCGTATAGAGTCCAATTCTATTTCCGTATGGACTTTACACGGCAATAGAATAGGGTTCTATACGGAAATAGAATGCGACGCTATACGGAAATAGAATGGGGCTCTATACGGCAATAGAATGCGGTCATATACGTCCATAGAACATGATTCTACACGGCAGTAGACTTGGACTCTACACGGCAATAGAATGAGACTCTAAACGGAAATAGAATTTGATTTTATACGGGAATAGAATGGATTGCACTATCTACGGCAATAGAGTGGCGCTCTAAGGCAATAAATCTCTTCACATTAGTAGAATGGGACTCTATACGGAAATAGAATGGGCCTCTATATGGCAATAGAATAGGACTCTATACGGCGACTCTACACGGCAATAGAATGGGCCTCTATACGGCACTAGAATTGGACTCTACGGCAACACAACGGGATTCTCATTGGGACTTTATACGGAAATAGAATGGGACTCTATACGGCAATAGAATCGGACTCTATGCGAAACTAGAATGGGACTCTATACGGTAGAATGGGACTCTATACGGAAATAAAATGAGACTCTGGTAGAATGGGACTCTATACGGAAATAGTATGGGACTCTATACGGCAATTATCGTGTTTTTTTCTATTTCTTGTCGTAGCCTATTTTTCTTGTCGTGGTTCGGCCGACCCCTGGCCGATTCAGACCACACTCATAGCTGCGAGTTGGGCACCTGGATGCTCCACAAGTGCACCGCTCCGCTGGCAGCGCCTCAAGCCAAGGAAGCAGCCCCCCAAACTCATTGGTTGTCTCCATCAAACTGGCGCCCGCATCCTGCGCCCCTTGTCAGAGTCAACATACCAAGCGGCTAAGATTTGAGAAGAGACGTTGTGTCTCTGGGATGGAGGCCTGCCCCTAAAAACAGCACTGGCGCCATGGAATCTCCACTTCGGGCCGCGCCTGTGATCATCCCTGCTTGGCTGGAGGACAGCATGTGCAGATGCGCGCTGCAAACCTCAGCGCAGGCGAAAGGCAATTCACCCTGCCCGTCCCGTCACGCTCTTAAAAGTGACCAGCCCATTGCTGCGCGCTGGGTTATCTTCGTCTTTACACTCGAGAGTGAACAGGGGCACGTGTGTCATGGCAGCTTCTTCACTTGAAAAGCGTCTCACGTGTTTTGCCACAGTAGCGCGAAAAATGTTCTAAAACTCAATCATGTGGCCATAATCGAACGCTTGACATCTTCGGTTCACGGCTGCGGCTGGTTGTCTGACTTTCCCATGAACACAGAGAGGCCACTGTCAAGTGAAATTGCTACAGCGTTCCTTAGTCATTCACCCATTTCCTTGGGTGTAGGACAGCGGGCTCGTGCCGCTTGAGACATCTGAGCCGCATTGTTTGGAGAACGCCACCAGTGCAGCCGCGCGCTACGCACTTCGCAGGGGCTGAGGCCATGCCCTAGCGAGGGCTCGACATCCGGCCGGCTGAGCATCTTGGGGTTAGCAATCGCCAAACCTGGGCCACAAAGCTTTCGACCTGCGGCGAACACATTCCGGGCTCAGCACTTCGGGCCAACGCGCTTGCCGGTAAGCACCCGCGACCGAAAAGTTTCTTCGGCAGGACAAGTGTTGGGACTTTTCGGTGAAGGCAAAGGAGGAAGGCCTTTCAGCCCAGGCCCGCGCGACGCGAAGTTGCCCAGCCAGGAAATCAAGCCTGAAAGCCTACACGCACAAAAGCGGGTTCACGGTGAGAATTTAGACACTTCTTGAGATGCGCTGCAAAGCAGGTTGCGCTAGCCATCTTGGAGAGCCGGGCGTTGGCCATGAAGACTCATGCCAAGCTGAAGGCGTAAAGGAGCATCTGAGCGCGTTGCGCGCACGTTGTGGTTGCGCACAAACAATGCCCTTCCGCCGTTCCGCGCACTTCCGCGCCCGCTGTGAATGTACGCGCAAGTTATCCTGCTGGCTCTCGGTCAGTTGCCACCGCGAACCCTTGTTCAAAGGTCAGCGCCGGAAAGCCCTGGAGCTGGAGCTGGCGCCAGATACATTGGACAAGAAGGTGGGCGCAGCCGCTTTGGGGGAGACTGCTGTCAGGGTCAAAGGGGGGAACGGGCTGCCCGGACAAAATGCGGCTTCCGCGAAATTCCTCGCTTGTTTGTGTTGTTCTTTTCTGTTAACCTTCTTTTTAAGCAAGCCAAGGGAACAGGGCTTGACTTGCAGCTGCGTTTCCCGCTGATTCGCGTTTGAACCAGGCTCATGGTTTCAACACGCACACACACACATGTGTCACTAGCCCTGGCCCTTCCGCATCTCTTTCGCCGCCCTCCCACGTCTCTTCCGTGCACACAACGGGCAGCCCCGCTTAGTTTGAAATTCTAACCCGGATGCATGGGTTTTAAGCACGACACCCGTATACACAGCTGACACTGCGTGTGCGTGTGCGTGTGCGTGCGCGTGGGCGTGGGCGTGTGCGTGTGAGCGTGTGTGTGTGTGTGTGTGGGTGTGGGTGTGGGTGTGGGTGTGGGTGTGCGTGTGCGTGTGCGTGTGCGTGTGCGTGTGCGTGCGCGCGCGCGCGCGCGCGTGCGTGCGTGCGTGCGTGCGTGTGTGTGTGTGTGTGTGCGTGCGTGCGAGCGTGTGTGCGTGTGTGCGTGTGTGCGTGTGTGAGCGTGTGAGCGTGTGAGCGTGTGAGAGCGTGTGTGTGAGCGTGTGTGTGTGAGCGTGTGTGAGCGTGTGTGAGCGTGTGAGCGTGTGAGCGTGTGAGCGTGTGAGCGCGTGTGCGCGTGCGCGTGTGCGTGTGGGTGTGGGCGGGTGTGTGTGTGTGTGGGCGGGTGTGTGTGTGTGTGTGCGTGTGTGCCTGTGTGCGTGTGTGGGTGTGTGTAGGTGTGTGCGTGTGTGCGTGTGTGCTTGTGTGCGTGTGCGGGTGCGGGTGCGTGTGCGCATGCGTGCGCGCGCGCGCGCGCGTGCGTGCGTGCGTGCGTGCGTGCGTGCGTGCTCGCGCGCCTGCGCGTGGGCGTGCGCGTGCGCGGGCGTGCGTGCGTGCGTGGATCGCATCCCCCGTGCGCTCAGGTCGGAACGAAGGGCATGTTGCAAGCCGCAACCACGTTCAACTGGCACGCGTCTCTCCGCGAAACACCACTCAGTTCCCCGCGACGCCGATAGCTCCACACAACGACCAGCATCAACATAAGCATCAGCGTCGGCGACAAGAAAAACAACAAGAACAGGAACAGCAGCGGAAGCGACAGCGGCAGCGCAGCACCACCGCCAGCCACCGACGACGACCACCACAATAACAGCGACAACAACAGCAGCAGCAACAACAACACCAACACCAACAACAAGACCAACAACAATTCCAACAACACCACCGACAACACCAAGGGTTGCTGGGGAGGGTTTGCCCGGACCGAATGACAGTCACTCTTTGTGGGTTGGGAATTGCGCAAGCCCTATGCGAATAGCAGCGAACCGTGGCTTCGGTGGGATCACAGGAAAGTCTGCAACTGTCCAAGATCGCTTGTCCGAATCTCAGATTCGAACACGCGGTGCTGGCAGGCGCAGCATTCTGATTTGCTCGAAGCAGGCTCCAGTGTGGCTTGACTCTGTTAGTGAGAGACCTTCAGAATGCCAGTCATGAGCTGCGCTGATAACTTGCTGGCAGAGCTTCCGTTCCTGCTCGGCACTGAGACAAAGACCATCATTGCTCCTTCAAACGCAAGAAGACCCCAAGCCCTCTTAGACACCGGGTGTCAAAAAATTGTCTGCGGCAAACTGGAATCGCGTAGAGCACGCAGATAGCGGAGAAGTCACACTAGTGTGAAACACAGGCTGGCCTCGACATGCTGGAAACATGGACCCTTGTTCTTTCCATCCCCCCCTTCCCTCCCCCCTCGACAACCGCGAGCACGCTGAGGATCAGCATGCGCGGGGTAGCATGAAAGTCCGCGCGCCCCCCCCCCCCCGTCAACCCAACACAAACAACAACAACGACAACACCGACAGCAAAACCAACAACAACACCAACAACAACACCAACAACACCGCAACAAAACCACCAACAACAACAAACGCAACAGCAACAACGACAACGACAAACAAGCAGACAAACAGACCAACAGACAAACAGAAAAACACGCAAACAAACAAACAAACCAACAACAACAACAACAAAGACAGCAGCAGCAACAACAGCAACAGCAACAGAAACAGCAACAGCAACAGCAACAGCATCAGGAACAGCAACAGCAACAACATCAAAAACAAAAACAACCGCAGCAACAACAACAACCGCAACAACAGCAGCAACAACAACAACGACAACACGACAACGACAACAACAACAACAACAACAACAACAACAACAACAACCACAACCACAACCACAACCACCACCACCACCACCACCACAACAACAACAACAACAACAACAACAACAACAACAACAACAACAACAACAACAACAACAACAACAACAACAACAACAGCAGCAGCAGCAGCAACAACAACAACAACGACAACGACAACGACAACAACAACAACAACAAACACAACACCACCAACAACAACAGCAGCAGCAGCACCGGCACTCAAAACAGCAGCAGCAGCAGCAGCAGCAACAGCAACAGCAACAGCAACAGCAACGACAACAACAACCGCAACAACAACAACCAACAACCAACAACCAACAACACCAACGACGCCAACGACAACAACCGCAACAACATCAACAACAACAACAACAACAACAACAACAACAACAACAACAACAGCAGCAGCAATAACAACAACGACAACAGCAGCAGCAACAACAGCAACAACAGCAACAACAACAGCAACAACAGCAACACAGCAACAGCAACAACAACCACAAAAGCAACGACAAACACAACGACAAAACAAAAACAACAAGAGACAACGAACACAACAGCGAAAGAAGCAACAAAAGCAACACCGAAAACGACAACAAAAACAACAACAAAAATGACAGCGCCAGCAACAGAGGGAGCGACAGCGTCAACAACGACGACGACGACAACAACACTCCAATACCCCAACCAACCACCAGCCAGCTAACGACCAACCAACCGACCAACCAACAAACCTAAAAAACGACACAACTACCAAAAACAAGCAATTCGCAACAAACACGAAACAACAAACGCGGCTATCTATCTGCGTGCGCCAGGGTCTTACCAGGTTCCTCCCTGACTTCACCTCGTTGTCCAGCACCGTCACAGTCTTGTTACCAGCCACGATGACCCTGCGCGCGATCCGAGGAAGCGGACGAACAAGCCAATCCTTTCCTGGGCTGGCAGCCCAGGTCACGCAGTCCTTTCGAGAAATGCCTCCCAAGAAGCCCCAAACGGGTTGGGTGTCTGCGTCGTAGTACCGAAGTGTGAACAAAATAATCTTCCGACGCCAGTCGAGCGTGTAGATGGCAGTCTTCCCTCGGATCTCTTATCAGCGCCGAAGGCTTTTGGGGGCTGCAATTTCTTGGGCATGGTGCGCTGGGTTCCAATACCCTGTAATTTTCCAGTGTTCTCGGGGCTTGCGTCCTAGGTCTCTAGGGGGGGGCTTCCCCCGGACGCGCAGGATCTGCATCCCCAGCATCATCAGGATTTGCTTGCTGCCATGAATTTGTCTCTTTTTCTTGTTTTTGGATACACTGACAGTGTTATGCTGTTTCAAGCCATGTTGGAATCAGCCTGCTCGGGGTCTGGGTGGGGCCAAGTGCAGTGATTGAGGAACTGTTTGAATTTCAAAAAAAATGTGTGTTTTTCCAACTGTACGCAGCAGTTTCTGCGAAACATCCCCTACATTATCGTGTTTTTGGAAGTTTTTGTTTTGTTTTAAGGTGTTGGAGGGTGGTTGCTAGTATCTGCTTTTGATGGTTGATTTTAGGAGTTATAAAAAATCATGGTTTTTGGACTTTTTGTGGCCAGCCGGCTTCCCGGCATCTCTGGTGTTTTCTGCGTTTGGTCAATTTTGCGCGTCTGAACGTCGTGAAATTTTGGATGCGAAGATTGGGTCTGTTCCTGTACGTCGTGCGGTTGCATCCCTTGCATTTCCAGCATCCTCAGCATCACTTCCATGAAAAATGAGAAAAAGGTCTGAAATTCCCTTGCACCCCACTGCCGTCGATAACCGCATCCAGCACCCAACAAAACAAACCCCGCATCCGACTGGCTTTGTGAAATGGCACATGAGGCACATGATCACTCGGCACCTCTGCTCCGCACTGACAATCCGGTGCACTGGCTCGGTGGTGATCTGGCCGCAAGCGGGGCTGCTTGTTGTTCTGTTTCTGAGGGAAAGTACCGCTTCAAACAGTTTGGAACCTCAAAACAGCTTCCTTTTCTCAAAAGGAGTTTCGGAAAGAAGCGGGCGCGTATTTGCGCGTGCATGTTCATCTGGAAGAGGGCAGCGCCGCGAGGTCTGCGGGCCATGCGCTGGCCTTGAAACTGAGTGGATGGGGTTGGAACACCCATCCTATAGCATAAAACTGGCAGTTTGTGCAAACCGTCCACAAAGCGACGGCGGTCGAAATCAGAGTTCTCTACAAAATTGGTCCCTAGATTTTACCATTTTGTGATGTTACAAAATCCCAGCGCATTGGCGCCAGGCGGCTCCATGGCAGGAAACAAACAGCAGTACAAAACGACCAAGTTACCAAGCCTGTTGTGTGACCTAACCAACCCTCGACATGGAGCGCCAAGAAAACAAGACACACGCAGCCTTTACAAAATGAACGGTTTTTGTAGCAACTCATTTTGTAGACCAAGTTCACCGCTACAAAATGGGTTTGCTACAAAATGTGTGCCCCTGACGTGCGTTTCATCATGAAAGATGAAAGAGCCGTTAATAAGGAATTCAAGGGGGACGGGTTTCAGGTTTTCTCACAGCCGGTCTTTCAGATCAACCCGCTGAGGGCCCTGACCGGGCGCTGAAACTCAACTGAGCACCCGCAATGCGTTGCTCTTGGAGATGGTTGTGGATGTTTACTATGCTAGGGAAGCAAAGCCCCTAAAATGGGCGAGCGTTGCGCGCTGCTCAATGCTCCCTACAAGTGCCATCTGGCGCGCGTCATGTGTTGGCCTGCTTCACCAGGTTTAACTGCAAGTGGTACCTGGCAGTCAGTCACGCCCATGCGGCCAACGCTCGTACAAGTTCAAAATTCGTTCATCTTGCCTACCACAGTCCATATATGTTCCCTAACATAGCGAAAAGAGGCTTTTTGTTGGACAAAATTTGCATGAGGCGCTGATCAGTTCACATCCTTTGGGCTACGTGTCAATTGATGCAGCGCAACATAAAATGTGCCGCCGAGGGCATACTGCGCACTCACGCAGCCAACAAGTTGCGCCCAGTTCACGATAGCCTCGGACTAGATTTGCTTTGCGCACCTTCGTCGGGCCTCACTTAGGAATTAGGAATCATGATGGAAGACTTCCCCCACATGTAGAAGATTGGGCACCTCCTGGCCCTCAACCGGAATATGGTGTCAAGACCTTTCGTGAACTGTTGGAAAAGATCGGGCCTTTCATTGCTTCGCTGCCCACTGACCCTTCTGAGCAGATTCTAAGAACCTTTCTGCGGGGTGGGGGAGCCTTCCCTAAAATTGGGGCTGGTGGAAATAACGAGTAACAACCACGACGACAACGACGACAACGCCGACGACTACACCGAGAGCTGCCACAACAACAACAACAACAACAACAACGACCATGACAACAACATCGACGGCAACAACAACAAACAACCGCAGCAGCAGCAGCAGCAGCAGCAGCAGCAGCAACTGTAGCAGCAACAAGAAGGACCGCACCAATCAAATTACAACAGCAACCGCAACAACGTCAGCAACAGGAACAACAACAGCAACAGCAGCAGCAGCAGCAACAAACTACAACAACAAAACAGTCAACAAACAACTCACAGCTAGTAACACGGCAACAACAGGAATCATCAACCAGCAGCTAACAGGCAACAGCGAGCAAACAACAACCAACAACAGCAACAGCCACACCGACAACGCCAAGAACAACAACACCAACAAAAACAACAAAAACAACAAAAACAACAACAAAAAACAACGATAAAAACACCAAGAGCAACGACAAACACAACAACACAACAAAAACAAAACAAACGAACACAACAGCGAAAGAACCAACAAAAGCAACAACGAGAACAATAACAAACACAACAACGGACACAACAACAAAAGCTACAGTGAC